CCATATGATACAAGCATACATCTCTTTTTATGTATGTAAAAGGCTTACACACCAAAACAATAAAAACCAAACTTCTACTATTTAAGCAATATAATTTTGACTTCTATTCTTCCACTTTCCACCCTTAGCCATATGGGGTTGTTTTCTTTATGTTCACACCAATTTCACAATAGAAATCATTATTTGAGTATTTATAGTCTCAACAACTACTAATGTCAGTGAGAAACAATTCAAGAATTAATTACAAAAAACAAAAAGGCACAACTTTGTATTACTTGAAGGGCAAGTAACCCCATTATTTTTCTTAAAAAAGGCACAAGGTACGGAGAAATATCATCACAGTAATTCTCAAGCCTATCTTTTCTCTTTATGTAGCTCCACCCCTCTTTCTCTCCTTCAGTTAAATTTAGGCCACAACGCATTGTCAAACACGCTCCCTGACACTGAGCTAAGGAACTGAATGCTTGTTTACTACAAAGCCGTTCACAATATTCATCAAGCAATCCAAGTAATCTATAAAAGATGGTCTCAATTTCAATATTTTTCAACAATGATTGCATGAAACATTCACCATGAAGCATGAACTCTAAGTTTATGTTTTTTTTTTTTTCCAAATTATAGATTCAACTTAAATTTATTGTTCTTTTAATTGTGGTCAATTGAATATGCGTGAATAAGAGAAGAAAAAAAAAAGGGATTTTTCAAACCCTTCACGCATGGGAGCAGCAGCTTGAAGCCGCATTGCCCAAGCCACCAAGTTGTTCCTACTCCAAAACTCTAAGGTCCAAAACAAAGCCGTTTTGCATCACGTTTCTTACGAACCTGGGCTGCCTGCAGTCGACCCACAACCCAATTGGGCATATGCACCAAACCGTCCCACTTGCTTTTTTTTTCTTTTGGGCCATGTTTTATTTTTGGCTTGCATGAAATAACAAGCATGTGGGTTAGGCCTTATTTTTCACTTTTCCTTCTTAGCCCAATAATTAGGTATATAATCTGTTAACCCATTTACTTCTCCTTTGTTGCCCAGCAACCCAACAACCACTCTTTTTGGCATGCAAGCCACGACAGTCCCACATTTTGGGTCATCACTCATTCTTTTCACACATAGGTCTCGAAGCTATTCCTACCTCGAACTTGAAGTTTTGAAAATAAGTGCCATAGAAATTCGAAGTTTCATAAAACAATACACCCGTAAAAATCCGGAGTTCTTGTAGGTGATTTGTTAGGATTACACGTAGATGATGCTTTTAAAAACAATTGTAAAATTTAGTTTGTGCAAATTACTTTATTGTCCATAATTTTATTTTGTGATAGAATACAAAAATGTTTTTTCACCTTCTTATAGTTGACAAAAAGAGCTTCATTAATATGTGGTTTAAATTAACTTCTTTCTTACAAATCTGTTATGTGTAAATAAACAAACTTGAAATAGATCCAATTTTATGGAAAGAGATCCTCTCCAGATCCCTTCCACCAAATCCACCTAATCAATCAATTCAAGCCCTTGATATTTGATCTAACGGCTACAAATAGGGGGCCCTTTAAAAGTTATAATAACTTTAGCTGTTGGACTAAATTTTAATGGTCCGAACTAGGTAATTGGGTGGATTTGGTGAAAGAGATCTGGAAATGATTCCTTTCCCAATTTTATGGCCTAACAATTAGATTAGTCCAATTTTTAGTTATTTTTTTATTTAGGTACATGAATAGGACTCCATATGTTATCACTTTTTGTTGTTAGGTTGATACTTTGCATTGTGATTACTATTTTACTCTACTATAGCTATTCAATGGAAAAAGAAAAAAAAAGCAAAAAAATAAGAAAATGATACGATCGGTACGTTGATAGTTATTCTCATTGAGAATAATCGCTAATAATATAGCGACTGATTCGCTTTAGAGTCGCTATCTTTGTACCGATCCCTCCCTTTTCAAATTTTTTTCAGCCTTATTTTTTTTTTCTTTTTTTTTTCTTTCGCTTATAATAACAACAAACTATCATTTTCGTGTTTTTCAAAATATATTTTTTTCTTGCAGAATATATTATAATTCATTTTTAAACACTTGTAATCAATGATTTAAAACCTAAATTTAAAGATATTTTTCTATTTTCTCGATTTAAGAATCAATAAAAAATAGTTTCAGGACCTAATAATCGGTAAGATCACATCAAAGGTATTGCAATATTTTCCTTAACTCCAGCACAAAACATTTCTTAAAGCTAAAAATTTCAAATTTTTTTTCTTCACAAAAAACTGTGTGCTATAAGCCAAAGTCAGAGTCATTCAATTAGCACCACATATTTCCTAAAATTAATTTAGGACATTTCCAAAATTCGGACACCTATAAATCTCTTGGGGGACCTCGCTATTAGTTATATTATTTTTCTATTTTTTTTTTCAACTCAGGTACCCTATTAGTCGGCATAAACCCAGATTTCAGCTGATCTTTTACAATCTAAACTATCTATCATATAAGTACTTTTACAGTCTAAACTGCATGTCATATAAGTACTTGTACAAGCTAAACTACCTATCATATTATAATATTAGGCAGCATAAACTTAGATTTCAACTGATCTTTTATAATCTAAACTACCTATTATATAAGTACTTTTACAGTCTGAACTACGTGCCATGTAAGTACTTGTACAAGCTAAACTACCTATCGTATTGTAACTACCTATCATGGTGGAATAAGTAATTTTACATGATTCTAACAGTAAGATGTAGTCCTCCATCTTGGTAATGTTAAAAGCCCCCGAAGCTAACACAATCAATGTCAAAAGCCTCTTGAGCAATTACTTACGTAAGACAATTAATGTATAATGCTCACGAATCATGTAGACTAGAATCATGTAACAAATATCAGCAAAAATGAAGCTTATTGTTGTAAACGACTCAACGAAAACATGTAAAATTACTTGTAGTTCTCATAGCTTCATGCAAATTCAAATTCAAATTTGGATACTAATCTGCAGGAATCGCGAGGAAAATTCAAAACAGAAATCGAATAGAGTTTTTGATGAAACGACGAGATTTGATGAGTAACTTTTTATTTTATTTTTAATACAACAATATATTTTACACTAAAAAAGATGAGAGTTTTTTTTATGAAATGATGAGATTTGATGTGTAACTTAAAGTTCCATGTTAATTCTAGAAGAGTCATGATAAAACATTTAACGACAGTCGGTGCAATTTTGTTTTCAAATTATGTACGCTTTAATTGCTCTACTTATTAGACCCTACATATGACTGTGCAATACATTAGACCCATATCAAAACATACGGATCAGGATCCTCTCTTGAGCAAAGGGTGAGGATCCTCCTGACCAAGCTCATCAAACCGTTGAAATTTTATCCAACGGCTACAAACAGGGGGCCCCTCTAAAAGTTATAATAATTGTAGCCGTTGGATAAAATTTCAACGGTCCAATGGGCTTGGTTAGGAGGATCCTCAGACTGTGACTTTGATCCACGTATTTTTGTTCCGTGTCTCATATTACTTTATTCTGTCAAGTTGGTAAAAAAAATTCTTTAGCTCGACTTATGGTAAACTAACAAAAAATAATGCCCTTATGCCATGCACATTAGCCAAGTTATTGATTCTTTTAACCAACCTGATTTGAATCAGGTAACTTATTTAGACGCGAAATAAAAACATATGAGGTAAAGTCACAATATCGGTTGAAGAAGTAAGGAACCAATTAAGAAACAAAAACTGAAAGAATGAGTGAAAAATGGAGAGAGAACCGTATGTATCTTCCTATTTAAAGGGCTTCAAATGTATTTTTAAAGTAGTTAATTAGAGAATTAAAAAGTTAATGTAAGAAGAGAGTGAGTTTTCTCCTTCCTTAAAATCAAGTGTGAGACTTGGTAGCGTATCTCCCTATTTTTGTCTAATTTTTTGTTTTTTTTTTTTTTTTGAAGCTTGTGCCAAAAAACACTATTCATGGGCTTGTTGGCTTTATATATAAGAAGATTGGGCATGAGTTAATTAAATATGCATTTAATTCGTGTGTATATGTACACAAATTTACACTGCAGACATTTGTTACAATTATTTATACTATGAATTTGGTCAAAAAAATAAATAAGAAAACATCCATGGCATGGGGTCTTTTACATATAACCAACCAAAATGGCCTAATGTATGATAGATTGGGAATTAATCTGAGAAAATTTTATATTTTTCTGACTCAATTTATGTCATACGTGCGTCGTTACTTATGATTACTTGAAATATACAGGGTGCATGATACAAGATGCTCTGTTCTACGTATGCAGTACATACAGTACACAGTGCTCAAGTGCTAATAAATTAATAAGATAGTGCATATGTTGCTAATTATTTGTTGGGCCAACTGCGTAATGTCATCTTTGAAACTTTCATTTCTTTTTTATCTTCATTAGACGATTGTTCATGCATACAAAATGTAAGTGATAAAAATCAAAGAAAACTAATGGATTTATAACCAATGGATTTATAACTGTTGAATTGAATAAATTAAAGAAAATCAATGAATCAAAATAAGTAGGAGTGTACAAGAATAAAGAGGGTATGTGAAAATTATTGTCCATAACTATAATCAAATGCTGGTGATCAAGAAAATGCTGAAATGTCTATATAAGTCTTTTTATATCGAGAAAATGAAGATTTCGTCGTTTGTTAACACAATCAGTTGTCAATTTCGCAAGCAAGCACCATAACTATAATCAACCGATGATGGTCAAGAGATGATTGAAATGCTTCTGTGAGTCTTTTGAGTTTGGAAATAGAATCGGTTGTCAATTTCGCAAGCAACCAGGCAGCAAGCAGCTTCAAGAAATCTGTATGAACCAAAAACCATTGTCCATAACCATAATCAAACGATGGTGGTCAAGAGAAGACTAAAATACCTCTATAAGTCTTTTCGGTTCGAGAAAAATGAAGATTTTTCGTTTGTTAACATAATCAGTTGTCAATTTCGCAAGCAAGCACCATAACTATAATTAACCGATGATGATAAAGGGAAGGTTGAAATGTTCTACGAGTCTTTTCAGTATGGAAACACAATCGGTTGTCATTTTCGCGAGCAAACAGCTTCAAGAAATCTGTATGAACTGAAAACCGTGGCTGCGCAGGTTGGTTAGCAAAACCACCGGTTCCGCCAGTTGTAAACAGTTCCGTATTCATTACAAAAACGACCAAATTCTTTTTTTCGCAACGGCATGCCATTTTCTGCGCTCGTATATTGTCGCCGCCAGTTAACCTCTTCGCTCAGAAATTAATGGTGCGTTTCTTGTTCACCAACGGCGTTGTTTCGCCACCCGCGACCACTCCTCCGGTCGCCGCCTTCCTCGAAACCCACCCAGGCGCGTACACGACGTCCCGAACTCACAACGACGCGTCGTTCGTGCTGTTCTGGGAAAAGCACCTGAGGAGGCTGGCGGACTCTGTGACAATCCTCTACAATTCGAATCCTCAACTTCTCTTCGGACCCCACTGCAAAACGACGCCGCCTTCGCTGCCGTCTCTGTCGTCCAACTCCATCTCGCTCCGATCGACGATTCGCGAGCTCGTGAACCGTTCGATGAAGCAAGTGCTGCCGATTGCTATGGAGGAGAGGAGGGAGGGGGAGGAGCTGTCGATTACGGCGTTGGTCAGTGGCAATTTGGAGAAATTGAGAGTTGGGGATGAGGGTTTTGATGTGAGTATCTACATTGGGAGTTATGCGCCTGCTGTGTTTGGTATCAGAGAAAACGGTGCGTTTTTGGCTGTGGTGGGTCGCGGGAGAGATTTGGCTGCTGCAAAGTACTCGGATTGGGTAAGGTCAGTGTTGTGAATGATTCATTCTTCGTTTTTGTTACTTGGATTGTAAGTATTTTGATCTGTTTCATTGTTTTTTTTTCACTTCGGTTTTCAATATTTTGAGTAGTTTGATTGAGTTGGTGCTTGCGTTTAAGTTGTTTTAGCTGTTTGATTGTTGGGTAGCTTGAATGTTCTTGAGCAGTTTGATTGTTTTGTTTCTTGGTTTTTAAGTATTTGGAGCATTTTGATTGTTTTGTTACTTGGATTTCAAGTATTTTGAGCACTTTTATTGTTTTGTTACTTGGGTTTCAAGTATTTTGAGCTGTTTGACTGTTGGGTTGGCATAATATGCAGAAAGGGACGGAGCTCTTGTTGTCCAATGATGGTGATCGGATTCTTGAGGGCACCGTGTCTAACTTGTTCGTTGTCCGCCGGAAGGTTAGAGGCTATAAGACTTTGTAATTTCGAACCACATTAGGAAAATTCGTGTGTAACTAAGTATTATGTCTTGCTACTGTTATCAATAAGTTCCAGTTATAGATAGTTGCATAATTAGAAAAGCAATGAAACTGTTCTCAGGATATCAGTGAAGCTAAAGCCAAAAGTATGGACTGTTTTGAAGTACAGACAGCTCCTCTTAGTGGTGTCCTTCCAGGAATTATTCGGCAAGTGGTCATTGAGTATGTTCCCTCCTACTATTTTTTTCAAATGTATTTACTATACAGATAGCGTTATCAGCACCATTGCAACAGAAAAGAAAAAGAAATAGAAATCATTTGGATTTTTCATTATGTTGCTACCAGAGTTTGGTAGCTGACATCTGATTGTTTCTTTATGCATGGTAGTCTTTTGTTCTTCTCTGGTGGCCAAACAAATTATGATTTAAAACAGGAAGTCCTATTAGACTTCTTTGGTGTCCACGAATTTAGTTGTATGCTTGAAATCAAATCTATTATTACTCTGGTGGATGGTTTAAAAGTTGAACTATTGCAAGTCTGTAATGTTTTCCCCATAATGTAAGTGAACACTAACGAGTGACCCTGGAGGCGGTATTAAATTGGCAATTCGAGACTAGGATCGTGCACTGAGTTTACTTTTGATTAATTGATTTCCAATTTGATAGGTATATCGAAATTGATAAAGTGCGCATATTGAGATCTGTTATGTTGGTTTTTCTTCTGGTAATTTATGTAGAGTCTGCTTGAGCAAGGGAATTCCCTTGAGAGAAGTTGCACCATTGTGGTCAGAGAGAGAATATTGGGCAGAGGCATTCATTACAAGTAAGCCTTTACTTCTCTCTTTTTTCAGTGCCATGCAATTTGTTAACTATTCAAGTAACAAAATATCGTTGCCTAAGAGATCAGTAAATTTAAGGCCTGTCGACACTTGTTGTGGGGATTTAGGACTGATACCACTTTTAGAACTAATTGCATTGTAGCCAGTATAGCAAAGGGCTTTGACCAGCAAGCAATATAAATGAGGATTTTAGTTCAGTTGCAATTCTGCAAACCTTTTGGGGACATTTTCAAGTCTAATTATTTGTGTTTCCTGTCAACTTCTGAGTTTCAACATCATATCTGCTAATTGTATAATGAAAGGATTAAATTCTACATATATCACTGCTTTTGTATGATATTAAAGTCAGATGAAACAATCAGGCATAATTGTCGTACTGTTACATGGAAAGTTGTATGCCATTTGATTTTAATATTATGAAAACGAGTAACATTTTGTGTGTCAGAACATGAAATAACATTAGCTTGTTAGTTAATTAGATTAGAATTTAGGGGTCAATAGTTTTTTCGCTATGCATTCCCATTCTGATTATCAAATGCTCTATGAAAGCTAACTGTTCCAAGGGATTTTATTTGAGGCAACACTGCACTATATATTAGAATATTTTGTATGATTAATATTGCAGGCAGCTTGAGACTTCTGCAGCACGCGAAGACAATTAGTTTTCCAAGTTCATGGGAATCACTGGATTCTAATTCTTCGGAGGACATCACATGGATAGACAAGCATTTTGAGGTGTGTGCATCTAAAGTTTTAAGATGGCGCATCCGTTCTTTGCTTATCATATTTCTCCGCTTTTTAATCTCTATGTATTCTTTTTAATATAACTAGGACGGCCCTGGGATGATCACTACAATAATCCAGGTAAATCTAGATATTCTTCTTCTCTTGCACAAAATGTCAAATTGTTCCACCCACAATGAAATAAGAATAAAGTAGTCAATACCCCGTGTAAAGTGAACTGCTTTAACATCATTCCTCATGATTCTGATAATTTTTTTTTTTTTTCCGAGCAGAAAGAGGTCATGGAAAAGGCAGTTTTAGAAGGGTACTCTGTCAGTTACTTTGTATAAAAGGTGGACAGATCTTCTTCTTGCATAGTACTTGTACGTCTCCACGAGTTTATCGTCGTGTCCCTCCCTTCAATGCTGCAACGGGTGATAACAAAGCTTGAATTTACGTCGTTTGTCAAGTAAGCTTTCTATGGTTCTTTTAGTCCAGTTCAAGCAAACCAAGGAATATAATGTAACGGATCTACTTTGTATAGAATGAAAACCCTCCTAGAACATAGCTATATAGTATCAAGCCTCTATCACAGATACAAATTAGTTTGATCTCTTTGCGCTCGATGTAATTGGCAATAAGTTTGAAGACATTCGATATGCTTATATTTTAGACATTGTTATGCATATTTGATATTACTGCTGGTACTCATGGTTTAGTCCTGTGAAGATTGGTAGACATGTCTCATACTTCCAGTGTACCCATTCCAAACTAGGCACGAGCAACCTCGGTTGTCATATATGAGAATCCCGGAAACCAAACAGAACCCAGTAACTTGTCACGTACGGTCTCATCAAAAGAACAGAACCCGTCTTTGTAACCACCGGAATAGCCGATCTTAGCAGGAATTCAGCTTGGTGGCACCCTTAATTGTTGGGGACCAACTTTTGCTTCATCCTTTGCACAGTTGCAGCTAAAGCTGTGTGTGAACCCTAAAAATGTAAAAGCTAAATGCTTTATTGTCCAATGTCTTTGCTTTTTCTGAGTTGGAATAACAACATAACATGGGCTGCTGTTTGCCAGTAGAACAGGCATCTTCTAATCTTTCCTTAATTAAGTAGCTAATTAATTACTTATGGCCTAAAACATCTCTAATTTTGTTTTCCATCTCTTCATTTGTTGTTGTTGATGTGGACCTTGGTATCTTTCCTCCATAATCGTGGATTGGATTTTGGTTTACGAGAATATAGTGATAAGATTGGTTTAGGGATAAGAAAAGCATCAAAATCTTGAGTTCAATTGACCGCTTTGGTGCGGGAGGAGGTGCACACTGTTATAACCAAATTAGCTCCACATGCATTGTATTTTTGCGTTGGATGATTTCATGCGCTTAATATATATATATATATATATTTATATATATTTTAAAAAAAGAAAAGAACAACTATTACATCCACGTTGCTATGACATTTCATAATATTGATACTGACTACAGTTTTTACATGTATTTGATACAGTCAAAATCTCAACTATAAGTCGTTCATAGTATTGTAGCCAAATCCTGTATTCGTACGCAATAAAATTTATCACAGTGTTGCCTACATATCTCATAATAATAAACCTAGCTGCACCACCCCTTTATAAATTTGAATGGATTGGGATGACAATTAGCATAGACCAGCTTCACCTAACTTTGAGACCCACTATAAATTATGTAGTGCCTTTATATGTTAATAACACCCTGTCAGTTGGTCATCCAATCGAAAAGTAGTACTAAAAACAATAATAAGTCTTAAAAGTTATGTCGTGTCATGTCAAATCATATCATAATGCGTTCAGACTTTAAAATTAAAGCTCAATCGTATCATGTTACTATTGTTTTAGATTTCCGTTATTTCTTAGAAAAACAAGTTTATGTTACGTATTTAACGTAAAGTATAAATTCAATTCATCCTAATTTTAGAAAAGGCATAATAAACCCATAACATTTAAAAATGTGAAAATTAATCATCTCCTTGTATAACATTAGTTAAACGTGTTTGTTGCATCAAAAACTCAAATTGTCTGTATTTAGCAGGAACACAACATTTTATCAATCATATAGCGACTCATGTCAAGAGTTTAAAAAAAATTAACTCTAACTCGCTACCTTTGTATCAAAATTAAATCGAAAATCATGAAATTTGGACTTAGAAAATGCTCAGAAAGAACTTTTTTGAGGCCAATAGTGTGGTAGTACGAAGCCCACAACTCGGCCCTTTAACCCTGTAAAAAAATCTGAGGAAAAAAAAAAAGTAACCGAAGGAAAACCAGAACGAACGGTGTTGATAAATGGTAGTAAGCATCAAGCCAAAAACCTTCCTCCTTGCCTTTCTCCATCGTCAGATCGCTTCCTCTCCAACGCGCGCCAAATACAAACACTTTCACCTTCCCCCTCTCTCTCTACGTATACAGGTACGAAAAGTTCCCCTCTTTCTGCTCTAACGGCGGCAGACCAAAACCTAACGGGCCGGCCTAGGGCTCCGATTCCGATTTCCGATTTTGTTGTTGAATTGTTTGATGAAATGCAGTGAATCGTTGTGAGTAATGGCGGAGGCACCGACGAGTCCGGCCGGCGGGAGCCACGAAAGCGGCGGCGAGCAGAGCCCCCAGGGAGGAGGAGGAGGAGGAGGCGGCGGCGGCGTCAGGGAGCAGGATAGGTATTTGCCAATCGCCAACATCAGTCGCATCATGAAGAAGGCTCTGCCGACCAACGGCAAGATCGCCAAGGACGCCAAGGACACCGTCCAGGAATGCGTCTCCGAATTCATCAGCTTCGTCACCAGCGAGTAATTTTCACCCTTCTCTCTCTACTGTTATTTACTTTGCTTTTCAATCGGAATTTTTTGTGTTAATTTGAACTGGGGTTTTTTGGGGTGTTTAGGGCCAGCGATAAGTGCCAGAAGGAGAAGCGGAAGACCATCAACGGCGACGATTTGTTGTGGGCGATGGCCACGTTAGGGTTTGAGGACTATATCGAGCCCCTCAGGATTTACTTGGCTAGGTACAGGGAGGTAACTATTCTTTAACTTTTGCCTTTATTTCTCCTTTTCTTTTACTTAAATTCACTTTACATATTATCATTTTTCAAATGGAAATTTGCAGTTTGGTTGTAGCATTTTCTGGGCTTTTTTTCCTTCCTATTTTTAATTTATGCAATGGTGTTTTCCTTATCAGTTCAATCTAACACGTCCTTTTCTTCTTCTTTGTTTTTCCCCTTTGGTTTGATTGGTTGGGATCATTGGATTGTCACAGACAGAGGTAACTAAACATTCTTCAGTGTTAAATCTAGTTTTATGTTCGATTGAAGTTTGAACTACGTTTGAATTGTTTAGTTTATTAGTTTGTATCGCTTTTGGAGCGTTAGAAATGACTTGACCGGAAAGCTTTGAACAGGGTGATGCAAAGGGGTCTGCTAGGGGTGGAGATGGTTCTTCAAAAGGGAATGCTGTTCCAGCAATGCCTGGCCCAAGTACACAGGTGTAATTTTATAAAGCCGATTAAAATTTTATTCTGTGTAAAGTTTTGAACTTTGAATTGTGACCTCACTCAATTCTCTTTTTGTTGGGTGGTGAATAAATATTGGCAGTTTGTTCATCAGGGAGCATTGAATTATGGCAACCCTCAAGTAACTATCTTTATCTCTCTTCTATTTTCCCATGGACAAACACATGACATATATACACACACATTGTGTGCTCTCAGCCTCGTATGCATTTGATATTTTTCAGAAACAAGCTAATTAGAATTATTCTAGAATGGGAATCTCTGTAATTGACATATGAATGACTTTGTTCAACTTTTAGGTTGCCCCTTCAAAAAGTTTAGAATGACAGAATCTTAACCAAAATGTACAATTGACATGTTTTCACATTAGTCTTGTTTTGAGCATATGATATGTACTTGCTAAACATTTGGACTAGAGTTGCACTGGTTTTATGTAAATGCTTTCAGTCCATGCTGTCCATTAAAGCCACCAGTAGCTTCTTATGACAAAGACCATAGGGGATTGTGTGTTTTTTTATATCTAGGTGAAGATGTAGTGATTCTGGGACACATAAATTCGAGTGAATTGTGTATAACAAAATTTCAGTATGTGTACATGATACAATTAATCGATAGTTATGGTTGGCGAAGAACTTGCTGCTTGAAAAATCAACTGCCTTTTATTCTTTGATGCCCGTGAAGGTTTTTTTATAGGATTTACATCCTCCAATGAAACTTTCTGAAGTTGAGAAATTATAGCTTTGCCTGTACCATCTATTGGCTGGTTTGGTAGTTGTCAACATTTCACCATAACTCTGAAGGCAGTTCGATGAAGTCTGTTTGAAGTTTGGAAAAATATAGCTTGATTTTTACCAACTATAGGCTTTACAATTGTCTTGGGGATTCTAATAAGATGCAGCATCTTAGTCATATAGAGAAAACTTGCCTGACACATTAATAGACTGTTTAGAATAGTCTTTTAAGAGAAACATTTTGTCACTTACAAAAATCTTTTACTCTTTTAGATTACTTTTATTTTTCCTAATGGTAATTTCAAAGCTTTTTATTTAAATAGGGAACTAAGGCACATTTTGCACTATCACCGAAAGTAATGGATATCCATGTTTCATAAGAACAGATTCACTGGTGACGGGTTTTCACATTCCTTAAGAACCTGTTTGCAGGTGAAGGTGTCTAGTGTACCCATTAATACCAAGTGTTACTTAAGTGTTCGGGTGGCACTTTTAAGTGTTTCTTTGTTAGTGTGCACATGCTTTTATTGCATCACATTTGTGTCTGCTTTAAGAACAGAATCTCTCACCTTGTAATGTCTTGCATTTGTCAAAACATGCCATGATGCTGAATTTGTTACATTATTTTTTGCTTTTTGGAAAGGATATGATTTCTTATTGGTTTGTATGGTTCTTTTAGTTCACTTAAAGAATCTACTTGCGTTATAATTTTTTTTTTCTGCTCAATTGTAGGAGGATTATTATGTGCCATTGAACAATATGGGTAATGGAAGTTGATGCTTTTGCGAGTGATATGAGGAAGAAGAGAGGACATGGATTGTGGTCAATGTGCAATTGATCTTGATGATGTGTTCCTCAATATCTTGCAATCCAGGCACAGCATCTCGTTGTTCATTCCATGCGAAGCAATGAGTAGAAGGTTTTAATTTCGTCTTATATCATTTTTAAGAACTCGGAGGTGGTAAAGTTTAATTTTCAATACTGATAGTATCATTTATGTGAATGACAACTATGTTTCTGGGGTCTCTGCTTTGGTTGGGGTAGGGTTGATTTGTATTTCGCAGATGCTACCGTTAGCTGGGTTTGTGTAAAGTTTTCTTTGGCTCTGTGTCTAGTTTAGTTGCCTGACCGTGTTAAGAAATGCTGTTTAATCGGTTGCTATTCTTAGAACCCCATTTAAAGAAAAAAAAGGTTGAAATATATGGAGATTTTCATATAACAAGTTTGGTTATCTTACTTTGCTGTCTAGCTATAGCAAGTAATTGTCCTTGGGGATTTGGGGCATGGATTTTGCCCTGCGTGTTGTGATTTATTCGGAATGCTATCCCGTTCAATGACTGTATTTTTGTTGTGTCACAAGCCAAACGTGCACCGTTGCCGGTATTATAGCAACGAAGTAAATAGCTTGAATTGGTGTTGTATGATGAGGC